TTTGACAAACATGTGCCTATGAGACACTGTATGGAGAACATGCAACGATGAGTAAGACACTGCTCTCAAGCGGCTCAAAGTTGAGTGAGTTTCCTTGTATTGTATTATATTTATTTGGGTAATATCTATTTCCTTCCACTAAGAACGCTAAACTCTATTGAGGGCAGAGACATTGCTTTGCTCACTACTATATTCCCAATATTTAGAAGAGTACTTGGCACATAGTAGGTGGTCAGTAAATATTGAATATGAATGTGGATATGAAATTATATAGTTCTTTGCATACATATTTTTCTCTTGACTATTATAGACAATATATATTTCTTAAGGATAATGGATGGTCTTTATCTTTTATCTTTCTCACAGCACCTGGCTTAGTGTCTTTCACATGATAATGTCTGCCATTAAACTGATTTGTCATCCTTAACCCTATAAATTATTATTATTAAATTTATTTTTATTGAAGCATAACTAATTATACATCTTTTTGAGGTTCAATGTTGACTACTATCACCTGTGTACAACATATGTTGATCAAGTTAATATTACTAGCATATTCATTATTACAGGTCGTACTTACTAAAAAAACAATCATACTTATTCTTTATGCCCCTTATGCAGTCTCTCCCCATCCCTGTTTCCCTCCCCCTCTTCCACCTCTCCTTCAGAAAAATTAATGGTTACTGTGTTGATTTGTTGCCTAGATGATCTGTCCAGTGCTGGGATAGGGGTGTTCAGGTCTCCCACTATTATGATAGAGCAGATGCTTCTTCTATTACTCTGGAGTGGGCTTTGTGGAGAGAGACATCCTCTTCTTTTTTTTTGGTCTCCATTGGTGATTCTCCTTGTTTCAATGCAGTCAAGTGGCTGGTGGGCCACCTGCCTGGTGGCTGTGGCTACTATTGTGGTGTCCAGCAGCCATGGCTATTGTGGCGGCTGTGGTGGGTCACCCGTGTGGAAGTGGTGTTTTTGGCATGCTCCTTGCCTGGTTGAGGGTGGGGGTGGTGGCCCTCGGCTCCATACTTCAGGACTCCAGGCAGGCCCCGTGGCAGTGGTTGGCATGCCTGGTTGTGGGGGCTACAAATTGCTAAAGCTTGTGATTCTATACATATAAATACAGAGGATCACCACTGTGAACTACATTTATGAAGTCTCAGAAAACTCTTTGTTAAATAAAAATATGGTGGTTGCTCACAGCCTCAGTAGAGTAATTTTCCTCAAGTTTGGTAGTTTCCCTAATTCTTCAGGCTATAAAACAGCTAGAGACACTGATGGAGCATGGCATCTCTAGCGCAGTAGCTCACAAGCCTAGCTGCACATTAGAATCACCTAGGGAACTTTTAAGAAACTCTGATGCCTGGACCCACCCTCTAAGCTTCTGATTTAATTGGTATGAAAAGGGCCCCCAACAACCACATTTAAAAAAAATCTCCAAGCTGAGAAGCATTGCTTTAGAGGAAGAGTCTGGTTAGGAGAAATAGCACTTTGCTACGGAAAGGACAAGATCTGGAATAGGAAACATTGCATTTCAGTCCAGACTCTGGGTGGGTCATTAATTTCTCTTTCTCTGTCTCTGTATTCTCAAAGGCACAATGATATCTAACAAGGCTGTTAGAAAGACAGAGAAAAATGGCTGTGAAGCATTGCATAGTCATTAAGTTATATGCAAATATTTACTCAATACCACCACTAGGGCCTTCAATCTTTTAGTTCTGGTTTGATATCTTGATACAGAACCCCACACAGAAAGTGATTAACGTAAGCCAAGTAAAAACTTACATTTTCATGTTAATAAATACAAAGTGGAAAAAAAGAAGCAATTAAAAAGCAGATGGTGATTCCCCATTACTGGGAAATGGTCCTAGAGAGACGGACTGGTAACCTCAGGAGAAAGGCCCTACGTTGACTCTCATTCTAGTTAATAGCTTTGTTCACAAACTATTTAATCAACATGAGAGGACAATCAATCTTAATCTCTTTGATAAAGCAAGCTAGAAATTCTGGGCCAGAAGTAATTCAGCACCCCAGATTTTCATCATCTGGCAAAATTTGTTCTTTCACTTCACAGCTCTTTTGCAAGGTTGTCAGGTCCTAAATTAACTCCTGCCAAAGCCTAGACATTGCTCTAGGCTTACTCTATTCCTTCAAGGGGGATATCTCCACCACCCAATTTATGGCAAAATTTGTTCTTTCACTTCACAGCTCTTTTGCAAGGTTGTCAGGTCCTAAATTAACTACTGCCAAAGCCTAGACATTGCTCTAGGCTTACTCTATTCCTTCAAGGGGGATATCTCTACCACCCAATTTGCAAGGGGGATATCTCCACCACCCAATTTACTGCTTTTAAATATAAATTCCTATTAATTTATAGAGTAAATAATATATAATAATGATATCATGATAGATATCATGATAGATAGTTAATTTAAAGTCAAATCAATGTCTGGATCAACTTTTAAAAATAAGTCAAGTCAAAAGAAAGGAGACTTTCCTAATGCAAACACTATGCTTCCAGCAAAGGGGCTAAAAAAATCCATCTAAACATATGCAATAAATTTTCTGAAATTATAATTTCCAACAGATATGAGCTGGGAACTGAGTAGTATAAAAGAGCTCCCTGGGAGAGAAATATTTTTCCCTGTCATTTTCCTTTAATGATGAGTTTTTCCCCACAGCCAAGAGAACACCTGCTGTGGGAACAGGCTAGACTGAGTTCAGAGTAGCTGACATTTTCTATCAGAGCCTAGCCTGTCCTCAGTTGCAGTCCACAGCCTGGTTCAGAGGTCCTTTCAGCTTTTTAATATCTAAGACAGGGAGGAAAAAGTCTGGCTCATACAAAATGCTTTCCACCAACTAGGCACAATGCTATTCATGCAGGATTTCTTAGACACAAAGACTTACTAAGAAAACTGGGACAAATACTAGCAATGCTATTTCTTATTTTCAGTTTTTAAAGCTAGAAGGGTCCTTATAGCAAGCATCTAGGACAAGCCTCTCAATTCATGAGGCCAATAAGGTTAAGTAATTTGTCTAATGACCATGGAAATCTCTGAGACAGCACTTGAACTCAAGTCTTCCAGCTTCACATCTACCATACCACACTACCTTGGCAATCTCTCATTGAAAATTTTCAGTGCAGGTCAGTTTTCTGGTCATGGCCAGATGGTAAACATTGTCCAGTGGGAAGGTATTGGGCTGGGAATGAGATGATCTCGGTTTTAGCCCTAGCACTGCAGTGTGTGTATGTGTGTGTATGGTCTCTACTTCAGCTTGTCCATCCTGCCAGCATCCCATCTAGGTGCTGACTCAGTTCTATCATCTGTTGTTTTCTTTTCCCACACCAGGTGCAGCTGGTATGGAAGGGTATAGGAGAGCAGTGTTGACTAGTGCTACCACAAATCCATGGTCTCTAGTCTCAGTTGTGCTCAAAAAACTCTAAATCATCTCTTCCTAAATTCTCTAATAACCTTAGTATCAGTCTTTTTGCTTCTATACTTGCTCCTTTCCCAGCTATTTCCCACAAAGCAGCCAGGATCATCTCTTTAAACATACATATGGCCATGGCATTTCATTGCTCACAACTCTTTAATAGCTTCCCAGTGCACTGTGAATAAACTCCAAACTCCCTTCATCCCTACAAGGTCCTGCATGTTCTGGCCCTTGTCTCCCTCTCTGATCTTATCTCAGGCCACTCTCCTCCTTGCTCAGTATGCTCTAGCCATTCTAGTCTCCTTTCACTTCCTCACACATGCCAGGTTTGTCTGTCTAGCCTGTTGTGGACTGACTGTGTCTCCCCTCCTCTCTGCCAATTTATATGTTGAAGCCCTAACTCCCAGTGTGGCCGTATTTGGAGATGGGGCATCAGAGAAAATAACAAGGTTAATTGAGGTCATAAGGATGCTGCCCTAAACTGATAGGATTAGTGTCCTATAAGAAGAAATCCCAAAGAGCTTTCTCTCTCTCTTTCCACACGCATGCACTAAAGCAAGCCCATGTGAGGACATATGAAAAAGGAGGCTAACTACAAGGCAAGAAGGGAGATGTCATCAGAAACCTAATTTGCCGGCACCTTCATCATAAACTTCCAGTAAGTTTCTGTTGTTAAAACGACTCAGTCTGTGATATTTTGTTGTAGCAGTCAGAACAGATTAACATAGTGCCTCAGAGTTCTGCATATGCAATTTCCCTGACCATAGTCTCTTCTTCTTTCTTTTGCCTTTTCTGCTTCTTTCCTCTTTCTCTACTTCCTTACTTTTCATCTAATATGCCTTCCAACTAGACCACTCTAATGAAACAGCTCTCCCAAGGTCACCAGTTACTAACATTTCACCAAAACCAATGCTATCATTTTCTTAGTGGACCCTCTCTGTTGCATGTGACACTGTAGACCCCTCAGTTCCTGAACCCTCTACTTCCTTGGCTTTGATTTCACTACTCTCTCTATGTATTTCTTTAACCATTTCTTCTAGATTTCCTACCCCGAGCTGCTTAGATTTGCACTGGATTTCCAAGTGTTAGTGTTCCATTGGATTCCGTCCTTGGCCCACAGTTCTTTTCTGTATAATACCCTCTGTGGGCCATCTCATCCATTTTCACAGTTTTAACTCTAACAGTGTGTTGATGATTTCCAAATCTGCCTCAGAACTCCAACTGCTTGTTGATTATCTCTACTTGGATAGTCCACGGCCATTTCAAATTCAAGATGTCCATAGCTGAACTCTTCATTTTCCCTTCTAAACTAGCCCCTCTTTTAAAATTCACAGTCTCATGTCTTGGTGCCACCCTTTGCCTGAACAAGAAACCTGGGATTATTCTGGACTCTCTCCTCTTCCTCACCCATTGCTCGTTTTTTTTCTCCCTTTGGACCTTGGATACCGGAGATGAATTAGTTGTAAAATCCCTGGTTCATAACACACTCTCACCATTATGTTAGCACCTTTGCAAAAAACATACATTCCTATGTTTTCTTTTCTTTTCTTCCTCTAGCCGAAGGTACGTACCTTTCCTTCTTTGAAGTGCTTCTTGAGCTGCTTCTGCATGGCGGTCAGCTTCTTGGACTGCACCCCACTGTAGGCTAGCAGCATACCACCAAACTGCCTCTCAGTAATTCTACCATCCACAGGGTCATGGCGTTCAAACTGGGAGGGAAACAGAAAGAGTGCTGTTGCAGTCAAATGGAAAGTATTTTGACAGGGAATGTAGAATGATCAATTATGTGAGACTGCAGGAAACAGTTGATGCTGGGACTGTATTTCTGAGGTATAATTCTCAGCAAGATCTGAAAAACTACTCAGAAACAGAAAATCTAGGTTCTTATCCCAGATCTGCCACTAACTATGACTTCAGGAAAGTCACCCAACTACTCTGGGCCTCAATTTCCTCACAGGTAAAACAGAACTCTTACAGAATCTCGCACACCTCATAGATCAGGAGCATTCTTCTGGGGATAAAAACAATTTTAAAGCTCCATACAAATTCATGCCATTATTAGTAATAAGTGCTCTTTGGATCACCATGTCCCTGTTCCTCAGAGAAGCTTAAAAGCTAATTATTACAAATTTGATCAATTATGCACATGTAAAGTCATATCAATTCCTCAATCTATTCTTAATATTGTCATACACTCAGACGTTTAAGAATTTTAAAGAAGAGTAATGCATTTTCAAGTTTTCTCCCCAAATAGTAACCAAATGTTAGGACATCAATAGGGCTTGGGGAAAAAATGCACAGAGTGTAGGGTGCCTTCATTAGACTTGCTCACCACAAAGATACTGAAAAATCATTAAACATATTTAAATATGCAGGTGGAAAAGTTAAGTATAAAGGACCTCTAGCTAATCTAAGTGATATCAAAAAAATAAGATTTTCATTTAAAATGGAGACAAGAAAGTTATTTCAGTCCCAGCTGCAATGTTAATGATACTTATAAACACATAAATAATAAAGTGGCTAAAGATGTGCTCAGTAACTAATTAGAAAGCAAAACAATTTGAAGATGGTAAAATTTCTTCAGGGTTTTATTGAAAAATAACAGTTACTGAGAAACTTTCAGATTCCTCCATTGCAGGGTATAATCCTATCTCCTAAGAGGGGTAAACATAGACATTAGATGTTGCTAAGTAAGGTCATGTCAACAAGCATTTCCTGAATGTCTTAGTTGTCTAGCACTGTGTTAGCCATTGTGGGGTACAGGAAAGAAGGAGAAAATTTGCTCTCTAACCTTAGAGATTTCACCTGAATCTAGTAGGGAGATAATATTTACACATGAAACAAAAAGTAAGGAAGTAAGTAGTTAAGAGTGAATTCTCATTTCCTCAGTTAGCGTGGTAAGTTGATATACACCTTAATTTGTTTCCTCACTAGTGAGATTGTGTCAGTGAGCAAGACACAAGAACTATATTTTAATAATAGCAGCCATTCACTGAACATGTACTATGAGCCAAGTAGCTCACTCATATATTCTTTCATTTAATCACTGTAACAGCCCTATGGAGCAGCTATTATTAGC